TGGCATATAGCTGGCAATAAATCGGTCACAATTTGACGGAGTTTAATTTTCAAAGCGTTATGAGTTTGAGAGTTATCCGCATAACATTCAATTTTTGAATAACTTTCCAAAAGAGAACATCTTGATGGCAAATTGCATAATCTTGGTGCTTAATTCCTATCATCAAAATGTGAAATTACAAGTTAAACGGAAAATTCAGCGCTTTGACGCTTTCACAAGCTAAAAAGAGATGTCAAAATGAGCCAAAATATGTAAAAGTGCTGGTTAACAGTACTAGAAATATCAAAAATGCGCAAAAGTGCCAGCTAGTTACTAAGTAAGATTAACTTTTAAAACCTAAGTTCATAAATATCTAAAGAAATCCTCTGTGTAAACATTTTCAAAGTAAAAGTTCCTTAAAGCAATTATTATATATATTTAAAATTTAAGATATTTTTTTTATTAGAATAAGAATATTTATTTGTGTTATTAAATTTTGTGAACTTTTCATTTGTTGCTAAGTATTTTTTTTGCAGACTATATATAAACATTTTTTTAGAGAACAAAGACTCGGTGGGTAATATCTTTTGTGTGCAGACTCATGGATTTATGGATTTTATGACAGGCTTCACTTTTCTGCACTTGCAATTATATACAATGTTCGACGTGGTACGGTTTTGATATGAAATTTTATGCAGAAGGCAAAAGTTTTCAAACAACCACTAGTACCACAAATATTTTAAATGCTCTGCACTTTATAAAGAGATTATGTCACTTTCTCTACGACATCAACTTCCACAAAACGACCAGACATAAAAATGCACATAATTTCAATTTAACTTCAACTTTCAACTTCAAAAAGATACAAGTTTGTGGGGTTTAAGTTTGTTTTCAGTTTTGTTTAATTTAAAGTTTCACTAAGCAACAGTGGCAGATATAAGAAGTTATTTGAAGGGACAAAAGACAAAACAAACTGTGGCTGCCTTCCGGTTGAACTTTTTCTTCAGGATAACGAGTTTGGGTAACGCAAATAAAAAAAAAGATTATTTTTTTTGTCATCTAAACATAAATTGTGAAAATGAAGATATTTATTGGTCTAGTATTAGATACATTTTATTTAGCTGATACTTTGAATTATTGCTAATTGAAACTTGTTTCGACTGCGATATTAGCAACTCCTTCGCATTATGTAAAATTCACTAATAAATTTTAACGACTAAACTCGTTCCATGTTTATTGCAGATACAGATTAACAATGCGAAGATCATAAAGTATTTGCATAACATTTTTTTATGTTAGAGCAAAGAGTATAAAGTGTCACATAATGTGGGCGTTAGATACATTAACAATCTTTTGATTTGATTAATTAAATTTTTTTGTTGTTCGAAACTGTTGTGTTTTTTCTTTCTACTTGAAACTGTTTTATTTGCTGTTTTGTCATATATCAAAAAATATAATAAAAATATATATAAATGAAATAAAAATTAAAATTATTGCTTTTAAATTTGATTTGCATAAATAAAGTTGGTATGCATTTCATAAACTTTTTTATGGACGCATCCCCATATATATTTAAGTGTCAGAGTGTATATAAAAAATTGAAATTAATATTTCAACAAGATATGCACATTAATCATATTCAAATTTAATATGAGTGCATATTAATTTCAAATGACATCATATGCATATAAAGCTTTTCCATTTTTAAAAATACATTAATAAATAATAAAATAAATAATTTATGATTTAAATAAAATTATGTGTTTTGCTCATCAGTGTATGTGTCTGGAGAAGACTGAAAATAAATGAGAATTAAGTTTGAAGGACTACAGACTATAAAAATGGAGAAATAAATTAATATAAATAATTTAAAAATTTTATAATAAACAATAAATGCTTTTTCTTATATAGTTAAAGTTTGAAGAATAGAGGATGCAAATGTACATATAGTACCATATAGTGGAGTACGTCCAATAAATGGGATAGAGATCTTAAATGCATACAATACTAATAGAATAGAAGACAATTCATTTAAGAAGAAAGTACACTACTCAAGTCACAAAACAATTAATTGCAATGGCAGCCACCGATTGGGATGCGTGGATAGAGAGTAAGGAAAATATGGTTTGGTGAAGTAGTAGATGACCATAACAAAATAAGTGAACGTAATTGGAGAAGTGTGGTTTCCGATTTAGAAAAATAGAATGTAGTGGACGTACATAACATCGAGATCTAGTTATATACAGCTTTTTCTTTATAATTTGAAAATTAGTACCTTATGCGTATATAGTATATAGTATATATGTATTATATTTATAAACAATTAAAAATATTTATCGTTTCCTCTAATAGTCCTCTAGGTACTGTTATCATCATTTTGTAGATATTTTAAAATGTGTCTAATCTTGTTATTTTCATTTAAGAAATATTCTTTAAAGCTAAAATGTCTAACAATTGCAGTAGCTAGATGAACCCTTATATTACTCAAAATGACGATAATTATAATAGTCAAAATATTTATAACTACCCACAAATATTCCATGTTATTTGGATATGAAATTTGATATATATTCGAAACGATCAAAATAAATTATATATGTCTGAATACGCTTAAAAATCTACAGAGCGTTTGGGAGAAACACGCTTTGTAAATAGATATAAAGAAGTAAGTGGCTTTAAGTTGCTCATACACTAAGACGATGTCAGGACAACATAGATAGAATTGCAGTTCACTGAAATTTACATGAGTCAAGAAGTGAGGATGTCATAAAAACATCTAATTATATTTGAAAGTGTAGTTTGATGTAGGATTAAGACCTGATTATTAGCCATCCTAGTCCGCACATAGATTACGGCAGTGAGGATATCCTAAAATCACCTAAAAGTACACTATTCAACATAAACCACGAATGTGTTGTTTGACATAGGAATAAAAAGTTATTGCTCGCCAATTCCTAGTCCGCGGACAACTCCACATTAACACATCTTGCTTTAACAGTATAAAATGTCTAGAATTGAATTGCAGTGAATTGATTTAGTAGAGTGAGGCGGTGCTGACAATGTACTTTTAAGCACAATAAATGAGATAAATATTAAAAGTGTGACCTGAAATGGGTTTAGACAGTGATTGCTACTAAAAGCCTACTCCGTTGAAAACATCACGTTGAAACTAAACAGACCTCAAGACAATATCGCTAAAATTGCAGTACATTGGAATTGCCTTGGATAAACAAACTAGAGGGGGAGTCTAAAAGCCACACTCTGCGAATTAGTTTTCGAAAGTGTGAGTTATCATATGTTTACGCAGTTGTTGCTAGTTAAGTTCTAGCCCTAAAAGACTTCAAGTCAATATTACTAGAACTGCAGTAAAGTGCAATTCACTTTAATAAAGACAATGAAAAGCTTAGAATATTAGGAATTCTGCTGATGAAGGCAAAAGCGAATTAACTGGAATACATATAGAAATATACTAAAAATAACGATCGAAATTAAAGCTAAAATTCTTAAAAAACAACCGATTTTGAAACTGAGAAGTCATTCTAAAAATACTTAATGGTATAATCTGAGATATAAATAACGAAAGTCTTTTCTGACATGGGATTAAGTAGAGATTACTGCCCAAATCCTAGTTCATTGAAAATCTCATACTGAAACTTAATGCTATCTTGAAGAGTTTACTTACTTCTGTTCTTGTTTCTCAGTAGAGCATGGGGCCCTAAGAGTTTAGAATTGAGTTAATAATTGTGATTTTATAGTTTAACATATCTCTTTAATTTCTTAAAATTTCAATATAAATTTTTATTAAAGGAAAATTTGAAAATATTATTCAATAATTCTCAAAATCCAGTGGAGGTGAAATCTGGCATACTAATGAAATAAAAATGAATTTATTGTTGATGTTGTACGCGGATATGAAATTTTAATCCCTGAGTAATAATGTGGAAGAATAGCTGACGGTGTACCTTTATGTGTGTACCATCTTAAGAGCATTTTTGTGCTGAATGCATAAATTCATTGGGTTGAAATTGCAGCGGTACTAGTTTGCATATGAAGGAAGCGCCAACAAGCGACGTTGGAGATTCAATGTACATGGCTTACTTAAGTCGCAATCCATGTATCTGCATGACTTCTTGCACTCATCGTGCTTTTCTATAACAACACACAGACACATCTTTTTTAAGGTGCAGCTCACTTCGCACAACATAAGCGCACCGAAATGCATTTCGAAAGTGAATTAAGCCAAAGTCAGCTTAAAACTTTGTACTAAAAAAGTATCTGCAGCTAATGTATGAAGAAAAATAGCAACAATCTATACATGAGTATGTTGCATGCGCATACGAGCATATTTTAGCTTATAGGAACGTGACCAAAGTTTCATTTGCTAAATATGCATAACCAGAAATTGAATTCAACGCTATGGCATCGAAAAAGTCAAATAAAAATTATTCTCAACGTGTGCAGATAAAATCGTTAAATTGAATTAGTTTGTTGGATAAATTTATTTATTTATTTAATTTTTTTTTTTTTTGCTTTTTTTTTTGTTTTTGTTGAAGTTATTAAATTTATATCATTTGAATTTATTTTGACAAATTTATAATTTAATTTTTATGTTTAAAATTCATTCATCAAATATTTTATTAGCAGTCAAATTAGATGCAAATTTGGTATGAGTTGTAAATAAAATTTTAATTTTATTATTGGCGTCCGAGATTTTCGCAAGACAACCATAAAAATTCGCAATAATGATGTTTAAATTCAAATTAAATATCAATATTAGTTGTATACACACATTTTTTGTTTTTTTTTAGTTATAAGTTTAAGCATTTAATTTTAAGTTAAAGCCTTTTAAGCCTTGTCACTTAAAAGGAAGTCATAATTTTGTTGGCAATTTCAGAAAGAATTTATATATTTTGGCACGTATTTTTAATAATTTGCATAAAATCCAAAAAAATAAAGAAAAATAAAATAAATTTTAATATTAAACTTTTGCATTTAATTTGGTTGTTATAAATACACAAAACTCATTTGCACTTACCCTGGAATAAATTCGCTGTAGATTCCAGAATGCCGCGCAGGCTTTCGGTGTGATGATGCAAAAGGCGTTCAAATTCAGTGGTCGCTTTGTGTCTGAGTTCAGTTTCTGTGCTATTAGCACAACAATTACCACCACAGACGGCACCTAAAATTACAAAAAAAAATAAGAAATTTTAATAAAATTAAAATGTTGGTGAACATGTCACAAATACTAATTATATATTAAATACTAATTATTATTTAACTAATAAAATGTGGACAGATTTGGTGTGAAATATATAAAATTTATTTTATCATATATGTTGACAAACAGTGGCGTAGTAAGCCAGGTTTAGTTGACAAGGCGCATCTCAATACAAATATTAATACTATGATTCGGCGCCATTGTGATACCCGCAAAAGCGCTAAGGGAAGTATTAATACCAGGTGTTATTTGCATTACAACAACAGCCTTAGCTTAGTTTAACTATTTGATCTTGCAGCTGAACTTTAAAGACTGCGTGTCTCTCTTCGTTATCTCTGACATTTTAGTAGAGGAACAATCTTTTATATATTGAAGTCACTTCATTTGCAGTCCAAGATATATTCAATGAAGGTGACAGTTTCTACATAGTTGTCCACAGAACGAGATCATTGTTGAAACTTTATACATGATATATGTAAGCAAGTGCAATTAAAGTGCACGACTTAGGTTATACATAATTTTGTAGTACTCTTGAAGATTTTTAACGCCGGGGTATATATTAAGGAATCAAGTTGGTACGAATACAGTCTTCCAAATGTTGAAATGTTTCTAATTTATCTTATCTATTGAGGCCCTATGCTCCAATGGGAGGTATAGGAACTGATGGTGATGACCGTTACCTAAAGTTATGCCTAAATTTAATATTTTGAACAATAATCTGACTGTGTCATACATACACATTGCGCCATTAAATTGCAATCGAAGCTGTTGCACTTTTAGACCTTTTGGCTTGAACTGCACTATGGCCATATTAGAATCTCAGTTTTACAAGCCGCCCTAACTGATATCTAAATTTGAAGTTTAGAACATCCTTCGATTATAAGTTTATAATTTCGGTCGAAGTTAGAGAATGAAAGAGAATGACTGGCAGTTTGGTCTCTTAAATTTTTAAAAATTTGTATATTTGGAAGGTCATTAGAACGCACAAGTGAATCGTCGCTCTCTACTAATTGTTGAGTTTACGTATGACGAACGTGATAATTTGACTGAATTACTTTATTTCCAAATCCTCCTGTTACTTCCAAATTAAAATTTCAAAGTACATTCTGCGGTTCCTTATCAAAAATTCCAAAATTTTCAGACATTTAAAAACAACTTCATTTAATATTTTTTTCAACTTTTATGAACATCACAGCTTTATTATGATGTTGTTTTAAGATTATGTGACAGTTATGAATGAGATACTTCGTCATAGCCAACTTTCGTCCGTGATTGGCGACAAATTGCAAATTGGAAATCCATTCTTGTAGAAATGTCAAAATGGCTGATAATGTGTGTCAAGGTAATATCCATAAAATCCTTTTAAGTTCAAATTTAAATTTTTTCTCTTCGCTCTGATGGCAGATTGCCAAATATGCAGTAGTACGTGCAAGTGATAAAAAATATGGTTTGACTTGTTTTTGCTATACTATACTATATACTGTTTTTGTTGTTTTGTTTATATTATAGATTCATTTTTATGGCAAACATACTTTACGAAGCATATTGAGATATATATTTTCATAGATGTTTTGTTTATACCTATGATCAATTTACCATTTTGAAATAGATACCCGGGCCTATTCAAAGGATAATATTAGATCTCTGGTTTTATATTGACGTTGTTGTTTTGTTTGATGAAAAACTTTTCAAAGGAAAACAAAATCTCATCCACTGCATCAACTTAAATAGCTTAATTTCTTTAAGGGAGATTTTTATGGAAAGAAAAGTATAGGTTAAAAATAAAATATAGGTTAAGACATGCTCAAGTGTGTTGCATTTTTTCATACCTAAAAAGTCATTTCGTTCCCTCACAAAAGAAAGTTGAGCACACTGAAGTAATAAACTGCTTTTATGCGTTACCTACTCCTATTAGAAAATGTAAGTAAAAACCGCAAAGGTAATACCATGAAAAGCGAGTTTCTGCACAAAAACATTTCTGAAATGATGATGAAAAGATGTTTTTTGCTCGACTACAATTTCCATTTATTGTATACCAATTTGGGGCGTTTTGTGTTGTTGTGTGCACGCGTCAGCATTGTGCATCGATGGCTCCAACATTTCGTTGCATAAAAGTTTTTGGTCCAGATTTTGACTCCAAAACAACTAAACTAAACAAAAACTGAGGACGAAATAATATATGAAGACGAAAAAAAATAGCAAATAAAAGGTGCTATGCTTGCTCTGCGGCGGTACATCCGTATGCCATGACGTTTGCTCTTGCAACAGAGTTTCCTCCTTTGTGAACGTCTTTGGAGCTCGTATAACGCTGTGTCATGGTCGTGTGTGTGCTCTGTACATTGACGTTACCATCCTGCTCAACCTTATCTGCATTCATATTCACATTCTTATTCTCATAGTCATCATGCATATTGGTATTTGGCAAATGTTGTTAGTTACAAAAGCTAAAAAACATCAGATTAAAAAATTTTTTTCAGCGGTTCTTCGGTACGCTTATCTGTTTCCTTTTGACATTCTTTTTATGGAAGAATATTTTTTAGATATATCAGTGTGTGTTCTCCAAAAAAAATGTGCATACTTTGCAGTGAAGTTTTTTCAATGCGCTTTACTATTTCAGACTTTCGGACGCCAAATACATTCAATAACCATCGGAAGAGATGCTTATGCTCTGCAAGGGAATTCGATGACGTACGTAAGTGTTCGTAATGTACGTGGAGTACGTAATTTGGCACGTAAATTGCATTAAATTTGGTAGCTTTGCCCCAATTGTCCTTTCGACAAAAACGATTCAGACAAAAACAAACCAAAAAATATCTTCTACTTGTATGTGCATTCCAGATATGAGACCAAAACTCTGTTCCACAGATTTGAAGGACATGCGAGCGGTAGATAAACACACAAACACTAACATTTATAAAAGTTGGCACTTTCCTAGCATGGAATCGTTGACATATTTGCCGTATAATTTTTTATTATACGCAATAAATATTATTTGTGGAAAAAACAAATTTTTCACTGGTACTCATGCAGTAAAAGATATTTATTATCTGCAAATGGAGGTCATTTTAAAGCTTGTTTTCCATGTAATTGAATATAAATTAAAATAAATTTAAAATAATTTTTTTTCATTTTCATGTAAATTCAAATAGAGGTAACAATATTTAAATTGAATGCAATAAATATTTTTAGTATATGTTTATGGGAAAATTGATTTTTTACTAAGTTCAGCTAAGAAGTGATAAATATTGTGATCAATAAAGAGGTTGTTAGAAAAGAAGTGAATTGTTAAATGCTAAATGTTAAATAAATAAAGTTATGTAGATGTACCATCAAGTAACCTGCTAGCAATTTCATCTGAAAAGAGGCATGTCTTTTCAGTTAAATAGATGAATTAATGCTTGGATTGGTAACTACATTGAATGTGGCGCCAATTGAGTATTTTTCCAATAATTAAACAGAGATTAAGTTGTGGATCAAATTATTCTGTAATCAGGCTGCGTATATCATGGATGTAATAATGGTAAATAATAAGCCAATATAAATTGATCTTAGACTAAGGAATAGACCTCACAAAATATAAAAAAGGAGATCTCAGAATATTACATACGATATCATGAAGCAACATATTTTATATATCCTGTATATTATTGAATGAGGTTGAGAAAGTGATCTTAGAATATTAAATATAAGATATTATAAAGTATGGTATCATGTTTTACATATCATGATGACTATTTAATGAGCTTGAGAAGATGTCCTCAAAATATTAACACACATTTTGTGAAATTTGCAAATTTTGCAAAATCAACTAGTTGGAAGTCTAATATAGTATGAATCAAAATTGAGTTGCATTAGTTTCATTTGTATCTTTGAAAATCTGTCAAAAAAAATTCTCATAAATGACACATATCATCAAAAATATCATGTAAAAAATTATGAAATTTAAAGTTTTTGCACTACAATTAGAATATATGTATAATATCTTATGATATAAACATTGAGCAATTGCATCGTATTCTTTGTGTGCGTACTATTTGGTGATCGGTTTAAACATGTGTTGTTTGTGTTTTTATGATGTTTTGCTTTGTATGTGCTCTGTCAAAACTAATAACTGTTCTTGCAAACTGCCGTTTACATTTTCTACATGCACTATATCTATGACAACTTGTGCCATAAGTTTGCTAGAATGCCAGTGAGCATAAATAAGAATAACCGAACAATTTTAAGTAAATTGTAGGAGGCTTTTTGTTGACTTTTTGCCTCGGTAGGTTGACTGAGAGTTCGAGTTAGTATGCTTTAAAATCGATACGAAATTTAGCTTTTCTTTTTCATTATCTTATTTTGATGTTTTGTTACGAAATATAATTTTGATCGGTTTCTAGAACGAGAAGCTAACTAATCATCATTTTCTTCTCATTATATCATTCCGTGTTGAAACATTATTTTAGCGACTTATAGATGATTTGCTAGACTTTTTTTATAACCGATAGCAAATACATTAAGCTGTTTCTTTTTATTACATAATGTACCTGCTTCTTGTTTAGAAGGATTATTGTTTAATGCCATGGTCAGGATGGAAGGGGCTTTACAGAGCTGAAGCCTCATTGAATTGAACGACTACATTTACTAATATATACAGTCTAATTGAATTGATGGACTACATACACTAATATGTGCATTACCAATGCATGTTAACTATTTAAATTGATGTAAATTGTTTTTTAAAGTCTGGGAATTATCTAAAAACCTCTTCCGAAGTAAGTCTAAATCGTCTAATTGGCGTATATATATCTTATACATTTTAATTCTATGTCTACTAAGAAGGCTTAGTCGGTATTTTTTTAAAGATTGGTATTTTTAAAAGTGAACTCTATTTTATATACATATGTTAAGTTAGATGACATCTCTAACTACGTTATTACTTAACTCTAAAGGCTTATGTATTTTTGATACTTCTATTC